ATAGTTGTATACATTGAAGTATTTTGACTGTGCAATATACATGAGATTCCTTCCTATTTTTCAAATCAATTATTATTTTATGGTTGAATACGTTAAGAAATTTCTGTAATTATTCTTTTCAACCGTTTTAACTGGATTGGTGATATTAGCATATGCATGTATAAAATGATTTGCCAAAGTAACTGAATATTTACTTTTTTTTGTTTGCATTTTAATCTTGAACTTGATTGTGATAGCTGAAAAATATACAAAGTAAACAAGAGACAGTATTGATCGTTTACATGTTTATTGGATTTATTCGGCAGCCAAATGAGTCCTTTTTTTATTATTACAGTGTATTTCGATTTTAAGTGTAATCGTGTTTATACTGGTTAAATTAAGCGACTAAAAACTGATAGTTTAATGTTCATTGAGTATGAATTCTGAAACATTAAGTTTATGTTTTATAAGTGTGTGTGATAAAATTAGCTTCTCGAAAATGACAATGTTTTGTGCACAGTATAGCAACGATTGTTTCTAGTATCAGTATAAATGCTTTATAACTTAGATTTTACATTATCTACAATATTGAGATTCTTCATGCCTAATGGTTAGCATGTTAATGGCTAGAATGTCCGGATTGCAATGCAAATCCAAGGGTTTATGGTTTGCTATAAAAACGCTCTCCGCACTTTGGTACCGTGGGTGCACTATTCGATCAGACGAATAGCTCAGAAGTTTGTGGTGGATGTCGTTGAATAGCTGTCTTCCCTGCAGTTTATTAGTTCAAATTTAAAGACGGCTTTGTATAAATAGGCCCGTGTGTAGTAATGCACGAAAATTCTGAAACAAACACAAAAAAGTCTATAATTTTAGGGTTAAGGTAAATTAGAGTATACCGTATTTTAATTTTATTGACTGCATATGACTATAGCGTCGAAGAATTGGAGAACATTTCAGTTTCTTCTCTCAGGTTTTCATGAGGTCACAGCTTTCAAGTCCAAATGATCATGAAGTTTTAGCTTTTGAAATATCGAAAAATAAATTATATTTTTTTTTCGTTCTTTTTTTTAGTGAGTTGTAAAATTCCAAGAATGTTTAATTCTGGGAAAATTCAGCTAAACTTTATTTAATGTATTATCTCCATGCAGCATAACAAAGCAAGGAAATTGTTAAAAATACCTTTTTAAAGACACATTTTGATGTAAATTAAAGAATATGGTCCACAATTCATATGGTACAACAGAAGAATCAGTAAATGTTTTATACACTAACTGTTTAATCATAAGCGCCTTGGCCAGTACTGTCTGTGTCTGTCGTATCCCAGCCGGACTGATAAGCTCTGGTATTGGTGGAAAGAACTCGTCAGCACTGGATATAGCATATATAGTGTGGTTGACCCAACATTCCTTTTTTGCTTTCACTTGTGGATTCTTAAGAGAAAGAGTTTGTACACAAATAATCTGAAAATCGATATGTTCTATGTAATATAAATCAGATTACCTCCAAGAAGCTTTTAGCAACAAAATTTACAGATACTTGTTGCATGTAAGGTGTTCCTCAATTGCTAGTAAAATTGGTAATTTTAAATGACGGGTGGAGATGTAAACAATACGTTTTTTAAAAACGTAAAACAAATTGATCTCCAGTTAAATAAATTTGTTCTATGTATACAGTCTTTACCAGATAATCAGCATTGCAGTGAATTTAATATTGTAAGTAGAATAATTTATAAAAGCTATAAAGTTGAACCAGATAGATCTAGATCTTGTAACGCATCGGGTCATTAATCTATATAAAACAAGAAGCAGAATGCCCGTCATATGACGGGAAACAATGATTAATTTTTCTTCTCAAATTATATCTAAATAAGTGTTTTATGAACGTGTTTTCTATAAATTAATTATAATTTAGTAACAATATATGTATTTCACGAAAACAACATTTTAAGTATTGCTTGATTATCAATTTGACTTGTGTATATTTTTAAGTTATGTTCAAATGTCCTTGATAAATCCTTATAAATTGAAACGTGAAAAACTGATACTCAAAGACATATTCCTACTTGATCAACTGTATGATCCTGCAAATTATTAATGGTGATGATAAAGGCAATGGATGTTATTATGAATTTCAGGGTCTTCTCTTTGGACTGTATTCCTGGTTTTGGCTTTTTTTAGCTTATTGAGAAGAAACGCGCTTTAATTTGAGCATTTTCAAAATTGAAACGTGCTGCGGGTAAAACATACGGGTTATTATAGTTGTAGGCGAGGGTTCGGAGGGGAAAAAAATTGGTGATGTTGCATCAATGTGTCTCCTTGACAACCAACCAAACGTAAAAGGAGAATTTCAGCCAATGATCATTATTTTTGTGCGCCAGCAATACCAAGTGTGAGGCGCGCGTATTTTATTACTCATCACGATCTCTACCAACCTACCCTCAAATCTAATTATATGTCCAAAGTAGCACATCGTCCATTTTAAATATATATGGCTGGAAGAATTTTAAAAAGACAAACTTCCTTGTTGCGGTAGAAAGTGCCATAGTTTTGAGCAAGTTACGTGTTGATCGGTACCCCACCAGCTGAGATGTCGGCGTGACGGACGGCATTACGTCTTTATATAGTAAATATTTTTCACAACTTGTTGGCATAATTGCCATAATAGCACAGCAAATACTTTATAAAAGCCAAAAGTTGGGTTTTAGCATTGTTAAATCTTACCTATTCAAACTAATTTAGTCTCGGCTTTATTATTTTTCTACTTGTGTGTAATATCACTTAAATTTCACCTTATTTGAACGAGTGCATAATATATGCTTACAATAAAACTTGCATAGTCCATTCAAAATCCAGAACAACTAGACACCTAAAACAATGACGAAATAGGACATTTAGACATCACTTGTTTATCATAAAAGAATAACTACAACAGATATGTTCCATGTACAACACTATATAAGTATATAAAAGACCCGTATATATCAGGCCTAATACATTAACAGTTTAATTTGCTTTATTATATGATAGCATATAAAACTATTGGCTATCGTTGGACCCAGCGGTGATCCCATTTAGCTGGTCATAAATGACGTCATTAAAGAGGAAATGGTTTAATTTTCATGCTATCATGAACGCAAATGGTTAGAAAACTGACCTTGTGAATTCAATACTGTGCTTTACTCCATTATATGAACTGTATAATCTAGGCCTACTATATTAACAGTTTACATTTTCTCCATTATATGACCTGTATATATATATATATAGGCCTACCACATTACCAGTTTAATTTACTCCATTATATGCATTTTAAGTATGTTGCAAAGTTTTAAAAGTTTAATATCCTTCTAAAATTATTAGGTGTCTAAATGTCCTAATTCCTCTTATTTTTGGTGTCTAGTTGTTCGGTTACCTGAAAATATACACATTATTTAAATTTTACCATTGCTGTATAAACGAAGTGAACCTCCGTGGCGTGCATAGAAATAATTCTTAATAAATAACCGTAAGTAAAGCTACGCTTTATTATTTAGAGCATGTATTACGATTATCTGAAATTAAACATGCTTTTTATTTACTATCATGTTGCTGGGTTTTCGTGGTTTGTCTACACTGAGTTTTCTAAACGTTAAAGAACAATCAGACAGAAAAAAATCTGATTTTTGTGTTAATACAACAGTTCACTAGTGTATTAACTCGGTACATTGTTAATTTGAATGATGCTTGAGGACGTTGTATGTAAATATATATCATTGTTGCTGTTGATCCAACTATATTTTATCGTATTTTCTGTAGGAAGGAAACTCGAACGTTCGTCTTTTTTATGTATTTGGGGAAGTGAGTGATTGATTTTTCTAATGATTTATTATAGTTCATTACAGATGCTGTTTTTTTTTTTTTCCAGGTATGATAGTTTTACAAGATTTAGTTGTTGTTGTTTGTTTTGCATAATATAGTAAGTTTTAATAGTAAGATTCGTCTCGGGATGTTTAACTAAAATTCTGCGGACAAGTGCTAATTCAGTTTTACCAAATTATCATGTTCAACGTAGGTAAAGTTGACAATTTTAGGCCTTGTAGTCCTCGAAACTATCTCTCTTTTTTTTTTTCCTGTGCTTTTCTGGACTTTGTTATTTTTTTTTATTATTCCACATTAGAGGTAATCTTGAAAATAGGTTTAGCTAAAGGATCCTGTTGTGGGTGAAAGAAAATTAAACTAAATGTCCAGGTTTATGTGGTTATGTATTGATAGGTTAAAACAGATTTCATTGCGTATTGCACGTGCGCTATTGAAACCTTGGATTGACTTACCTTGTTATGCTATCTTTGTATGGTTCGTACATCATGTTTTATAATTGCTTATTTTTTTTTCTACAAATCGTTCGGCTCACTGTCATGTACAACGTTTTTCAATAACCATAACATCTTGTTTGTAAATTTATTGTACTCAATGTTATATTATAAAATTGTACTTGATGTAAAATCTTGAACCTTCCGAGAAAATGTATTATGTATATTTTATATACAATCTAATTTGATAAACCTTGGTACAGACATGCACTTAAAAAACAATTCTTAAAAGTTGTGAGCAAGGAAAAACGTACGTGTAAAAACAATGTGCTTAACTTTACCAAATAACTGAATAAAAAATTTTAAAGTCTAAATTGCAGTTAGAGACGTCATCACGTCCCTACATGTACGATATTTACTTGTTGAAAGCAGGCTGCAAAACTGAACAAACTATGTTTATCGTAAAATTGAAGCACGCTGTTTTGTTTTGACACAAGTCGTTTTTTCGCAGTTCTATTCGGCGGCTGCTACTTCAGTGAAGCATCGTAAAAGTTGGGTACACAACTGCAGGGTAAAGCCCCCACCCCCTGCATTAAGGGCGTTGAACGGCGGTTATTACCTCATCGTCACGGGCCTGGTGCGTCAGCTGCACCGGCCCCTGTTACCCGGGCCCACCAATGAGGCGCAAAGACATGTGCACAGCTGCCTGACTATTGTGTAAGCTCGCTTAGCTCGAGCAACTAGCGCCCCAAACAGCAGTGATGGTTTCAGGTGGGCGAAAGCTATAGCTGTGAACTCTGTGTCTCTTGCGTATGTATCGAAGTTCGAATGCAGACTGCTGGGGCCAACAACATGACTCTAACGGTGTGCTCCCCACCAGTGGAGGAGGTATGGCTGTTTACGTTTTGTAATCATGAAATAAGCTGGAACGTCTCTCTCATTTTGTAATTCGCACACGTTATTTCTTGAATTTCCAACTAATATTAAAAATCCAGAAGGCTGTAGAAATAAATTATCGTTACTAATTAGGAATTGACATTCTGTAATTATTATATTGCACTATTTATAATTTTTTTGCCTACATCTATTTAGTATGCTAAATTGATTTGTATATAACTGGTTACTAAATTATTTTTATTTATTGTTTAATTTTATTTATCAAATGAAGCCTAATCTAGCATACTCTCAGTGTTTGTATACCACTATTAGCTCTGACTATCAACAGTTAGTTCTGTACATTACTGGTCATTAGCTTACATCTGTAATTTACTTTCCAGCTATGACCTACTTTTAATCTGCAGTCCCCATATCAGATAAGAAAACAATTTCGTTTTTACAGACCAGATAAATTCACAGTTTATGCAAATTCTGCTCACAATCCTAACAAAGTTTTTGTTTTTCAAAGTTAGTAATGTAGCAGAAGTGTAAAATAAAATGATTCTTACACTGCAAAAGATGTCTTTAGATAAGATTATTCTAAACATTGCTGTTGAAGTTTTCTGTTTAAGAAAACATTCTATACATAAGGGAGTAATATTTAACTGTTATTTCAGTACAATTGTACTATAATATAGGAATATTAAGAAGTAAACATTTGATCATGAAACACTTGGTCATGAAAGTTGTTTCTCATCCTTGGCAGCCACTAAAAGTAACTTTATGCAACTAAACAGTCTTGTTGCTTCATTTTGAAAATGTATTCCTGGAATAATTTTAGCCCACAAGAACAGGGCATTTGGCTTACGACTGATTCAATAAACTTAAAAGCTTATTAGCAGCCTTGTGTTCCTCATTTTAGGACACTTTATCTGAAAGCTCATCAGTAATGTGTAAAATTGCAAAAGAGCATTTCAAGCCATTTCCATGAAGTTTCAAGTAAGCAGTAGACTTTTCAGCTCTGAGCCTTACTTTTAATAAGTTCGTTCCACTGATGAGCTATGATAGTCAAGAAATATACCAAATATACGAATAATAAGAATTGTTTTCTCATCAACAATATCAAAGTGATTCAGTGGATGTTATATCAAAACTGCTTCTTTTTTAATTGATTTTATTTATGAAATTAAAATTCCCTTCCAGTATTAGGGCTTATCTACTCCATTAGACATATTTATATAATTTGTTAAACTAATTAATTTTGTTGTAGTTTTGACTATGCTGTTTTTATATAGAAAATCAAACTTTCTCTTCTTAAAACTGTTAAAAATTAGCTTCGTATCACTGACTACTACTTTTTTCTCTCCAAATCTGTAGAATTACTTAACCATAAACAAGTACCATTTTTTAAAAATTATATCAATATTTCAGAAAGTTAAGAATTATTGTTATGCAGGAACATGTATTAATTAGTGCCTAGCCATCTCTTCTTTGCTGAGTTTAGTCTTAATACATGACTTATTCATGTGTTAAACATATTTTTGTGTTAACATGTTTTTATATATCTTTAATCCAGATGAAAACAAAGTTAAAGAATTAATCATTGCATGAAATTTCATCTTATCAGAAACACTATACTCATAAAAAGGTCAATAATTTTCATAAGATATGAATCTGAACCTGAAGTATTAGATTTGTTTTCATGAGAGTTTGATTAGTTTCTTATCTGATGTAGGTGTATTTACAAATGTTTATACTTAACCGACATAGAGTTAATTAAAGTACAGAACAGCTTAGAAATTTTCTTGTAAATTTAAAATGTAAAAAAGGAAATCTGGTTTGTTTGTCTTAGTGTGGTTAAAAATTTCAATTCTCAGTTGGCCATCAAACGTTTTTGTTTTTTTTGCAGTCTACCTTACTTGTGTATTCTAGAGTTTTAATTAGATTTTTTTTTAAATTAAACTGGTAAAGAGAAAAATGTTGAACTTAGTTGATGTAATTTACAAGTCTGTCAGTATATATATATATATATTTTAATTGAATTATTTAACTATGGAAAAACATAAAAGTACATATTTTGCTGTTAGTTTAGTGTATTTGAATGTGAAGAGTTACCATTGTATGTTCCTTGTTGGAGTGACTAACAAGGATGTTTTATTATCAATGGTATACTAATGTATGAAATGTTTTAATACTTAATATTTAGTTGCTAGAATCATGTTATGCATACTGCATTTATTTTTATTCGAAATGTTTACCATTATAGATTTACCTTTTATTTCTTGACTGTACTGTATTATTTAATAATGGCTTGTTACCCAAATGCAGTTTTATTTACAGGCTGTCCTTGCGTAATGTAAGTTAGTAAAAGTGAGAATTTCCAGTAGGAACATTGAAAATTTTGATTTAATTGCTAAATTAATTGTCTCCCAGAAAACTACATGTAGGGGGTCTTATATCAATTCTAAAATAACTTGAAGACATGTTCAGCAAATGTAATTCAGTTTTTCATAAAGGAAATATACCTAAAACAGCTATTTTAGAGAAATATTAGCCTTCAAAATAATTTTAATGGAATGCAGGCTATATTCATATTAACATAGTTTACCAAACTATTTAAACTTGTAGTTCTTTTTTTCAAGAAATAGTTTTTTAATACACGAATACCATGCTTTGAGGTGACTGTGGGTTGAATATTTTTGTACTCCACTATATTTATGTGTCATGATATGTAAAGATCAGTTAATAATGAAGTGCAAATACTTGTGTCTTCTAGCTGCAAAACATTCGAAGTATGATCAGGCTGACTCGAGGAAATCTTGAGGCTTTAAATGCAAAGTTTGCTCAGTACCAGCATCCTCCTTCAATGTACATAACAGTAAGTATTAGAAGGGTGTTTTATGCAATGAAAGTAATTGTGAGGATTATAATATTTTTCTTTTAGATTGGTTTATTTTGATTCAACAATCAATGTATATTCCCAGAAGACATAGAACTTTATATTAGTCTAATTAATTTTTGTCCACTAACAGTTCTGGGATCTATAGTATATTATCTTGTTAGTGTTGTAGAATGTTTATTTACTGTTACTATTATTACAAAGTGCAGTTTTTCTCTCGTCAGTTAATCATATCAATTATTTGTAGCTTGTTTACTAACAGGAAGTATGGTTGCAATAGTTAGTAACATACTATCACAGTAAGAGTGGACATTATGGCTGGTCCTGATTTAAGGTCTCATTAACCTTGCTGAGTAAGGTCTTCAGATTCTCTCATTCTTAATGTGTGTGTGTGTGTTCTTCTGTGACTCTGCTAATGATTTTGAAGTGGCACTGTTATGGTGTGTTACAGTGGTTTTGTTGTGTTCTTTAGCATATTTTCATAATGATTTTAAAATGAAATCATTGAGGACAAGTGTTTAGATATGAACACAGAAATGCTGGTTTGACATGGACATAGGAATACTGGAGAGATGGTATCTTATTCTTCACGTTAATAGCATTAATCTTTGTTATGGTTTTAAAATAGGTGTGAGCTCAGTTTGTGGACATTGAGCATTTCAAAATGTTTCAGTTATTTATTGGTAATACTTTTATCTTTATAATAAAAAAAATGGGAGGTTGAGAATAATGGGACATTTTGATTCTTTCACTTGTTTGAAAGAAGTGTTAATTTTTTAAGCTACTGATAAATTATTTATTTACTGGACTATTGGGAAAGATACTGTTTTAAATATACTGCTTTATTATCTATTGCTCAGAGTAAAAATAACTGAATGTGCTGGAGGTTTTGTAAGAACAGTGAATTAAAATATAAAATCACTCCATTTTGAAATAGAAGGTTATAAATGTATTGTAATGAACATGTAACTAAATGAAAACAAAGCATTAATTACAAATGATGATCCTGCTGTTTATATGTTTAGTGTTCCACAATGGAAGCTGATAAAATAGATATTTAGGTGATTGTTAAATAATAAGCAAGAAACTTATTAACATGACTTGGTTTTTTATCTACTATAAAAGGATCACCAACATGTCTTTTATATGCTAACAGTAATTGTTATATCTTGTTTGTTTACTGCCAGTAGAAAAAAAAAGTAATAAGTCATGGTTAATTTACTAAGTTTAACAATAGATTATATAAGCTGCAAGTATCACACACCAGTACATCTTTCACAGAATGTTATTAGTTTTTATTTTACAGTAAAACTTGTCAAACTAATTTAGCTAACTTATATGGTCAGTCTGCCAATTGATAATCCTTTTTTAAAACTAAAATTAGTTCTCATCAAGACCACAAAATAATTTCCTTCATTCAACCCTGCTGATGAATGTGTGTGTGTGTATATATATGCAAGTGTTTATGTACATGTAAATATATATATATATATATATATTTCTTTTAGATACAGAATGATGTGTAAAGATGATGCATCAAGATAGTGTTAGTTTTGGCGTAGGATCTTAAGAAGTTCAAACATTGAGATGTTGATTATTCACTCTATATAATTGTATTCACTTTTCTAATTACTCCTAATCTTGGCTTTCTATTACTCAGGTATATTCATTT